TGGTTATTTAAGATTATGAATTTATGATGCAGTACTAATTACCATTTATTAGTAATAATAATTAAAACTAATATTTTTATTAATAATAATGATTAAAATTAACAAACTTTTCACTTGTTTAAATAATTCAGTAGTTTAAAAAAATCTAATTAAACATATTTTGACTTATTTAGATTGATTGATTGGTTGATTCAGCTTATCAACCCTTTGCAGGTTATTTAAAACCAGAAAATATTTTTAGGTTGTAGGAAATAATGATTTAGTGATACAAGTTTTACTAATTAACCCATAGCTAGGGGGAAAAGAGTTGGATTCATACCTTTTCCAAGAGTATTTGTGTTTGTGTATAAGTGAATATAACAAACCTAACTGAAATAGGAACTCAACTCTCTGATTAACAATTCCAAGACATTATCTATTCTTCCCCAACAAATCCAAGCTAACTATACTTGGTATTCCCAAGCATACACCAATCTAGATACTGACAAGGCTTGATATTCTTCAACAATCATACAGAAACCAGAGTTTCAATGCTATATTGTCATAAGTCTTGAGTTGTTTAGATAATTCTATAAAATGTTTTAGTTTCACTTAACTAATTTGTAGTAATGTGAAATGTCAAACAAAAATGGTTATTACAAATGCTGCAGGAGCCAAGGTTGTGTTTATTTTGCATTCACTTTAAATGTAAACACACTGATATATTTTTGCTAACTTACAACAAGGCAGGTATAAATTATTTCTATACAAACAAAATGAATTAATTATCAACAGAAAAATTGCTTATATATGAAGTTTGAAAGTTTACATTAAAAATAAATAACACAGAGAAAATATTTATTAAAACAGGCTCTTAAAAATTGTTATGCAAATTCTCTTCTCTCCTCATTTGAGTTGGGAAAAGACACCTGGTCCTGGAGATTACAACCCTGAATCAGCACCTTCCAAATTGTGGTGGGATTGGTGTAATATTGACACCAGTGTGGCAGTGGTCATAGAAACTAGGTAATTTCTTTTCTTGGTGTATATATGCATACATATAGACTTTCAACATAAAATAATGACCCTTAGTTACATCCTGTTTTAATGGGGGGTGGATCTGATAAATATCATCACTACTTTGACTTTTGGCTATGATGAAAGTGTAGTATCTGTTCTCTCCTCAATTGAGATGGGAGAAGGATCTTAATCCTTGGGATTTCAACCCTGTGGCAGCAGCTTCCTCATTACACTAAAAAAGGTGGGGTTGGTATAATATCAATGTCAGCATGACAGTGGTTGCAAAGATTGGGCAATTTTTGTCCTTGGCCCATATACATAATTATGTGTATGGACATCACGCACAAAACAAAGACCATGTGTCACATCCTGCCTTAGTAGAGGAGGTCAGGTAAAGACCCTTTCTTCATTTGCCTTTCTGGGGAGGTCAGGTAAATACCCTCTTCTCATTTGCATTTATGGGGAGGTCAGGCAAATATCTTAACACTACAGACTGTTTCATTCTCCTGCTGTATAGTGGAGACACACAGACAAAATTTAGCCTTACATGAAATTATAAATGATTATCTGAAATATTCTATATTTCTGTGAATCGTTTCATTAGGTTTCAAAAAATTAAAAGTGAAAAATAATATGAGATGTAATATAGACCAATTGATTTTTTTATGGTTTATCAACACTTTACAGGTTATTTAAAGTCAGAAAATATTTTTTGATAGTAAGAATTATTTTTGTGATAATAATGATTTACTGATACAACTCCTACTAATTAACTCATAGCTGGGGGAAAGAAGAGGCTGATTCATATCTTTTCCAAGTGCATAATATAATGAACCTGACTGGAATAGCTCTCCAAGAAATGTAATATAGAAATGATAATTTTTTTTTAAATCCCTGTAACAAATCAATATTTGATTAAGAAACAATCTCCTTGATTTTGTTAATATTTTCATATTCATTGGCATCATCCTTACTACATTATCTATATACTGAAAAAATGAAATAATCCTTAATGATATATACTGATGAATTCAGTTTTTATAGGTGATTCTTTAGGCTTTAATCATACAAAGCTTATTTATTATATTATTAGAAAATTAAAAAATCTAACTAAAATTCATGACTAATAAACAATAAAGATGATAAATAATTAATTATAATTTTATTGAAAAATGGCTAAAACCTTTTTGTTCTTATTTTTTATATTAATATTATGCTTTCCTTCTAGGTTTAAATAAATACACAAATTACAAAAATGTTACTTAATTTCCTGGTGAAAAAAAAAGAGATTTTTAAAAGATAATTCCAGATTTAGAATGAACAGGTAAGCAGCTTTTTATAATTATTCTCATTATTAACAAGTTTTCTTGTTAATAAGAAATTAGTAATAAACCTTATGAAATAAGTTTTACTCCTTTATTTTAAATAACTAGCAGAACTATCCAATATTTTCTGTGTATTATATTAGAATAACACCAATAATGTACAAATTCATGTTAGACAATATTAATAACTAGCAATAGCTGTAAAAAATTCCCAGTTTTCCTATTTGAATTTTCTGATGAATCTTAATTCATAAGTTAATGATTAAATAAGCTCATAGAGAATTCTACAACAATAAAACATCCATAGAAATTCCACTATCACATCATTAAATATTTGAGCTTAACAACTTTAACAAAATATTGCAATAACAATCATAAATATGAATTGGAATCAAATATGGATTAGAATCTGACAGAATGGCAAAATAAGAAACAAATAGGAAACATTTATAAATTTAATATTTTTCACTTCTATTTAAGCTTCATCAGAAATTAAATATGGAGGAGAAGAGAAAATTCTGGTGTTGTTTATTTTTCATTGGTTAAGGAAATTTTACATGTATTTATATGTCAGGTTGCATTCATGTGTATAATTTTGTAGTTCTGTGTATCATAATTCCAGTTGGTCTACGTTGGATTTGGCTGATAATATGTCTGTGCTTTTATGTGTATAGTGGGCATTTTTATTTTTGTCTGGTGAACAACAGTAAATAAAAAATGATATCATAATTTCTGGTAACATGAAAAAATTTTAAAAAATCACAGGGGTATTTTAATAATGATTGCTACTGAATCAAGTATATAAAATTCTCCAATGATTTTTACCTTTATTTAAAAAACTTCCCTATTATTTTCTCCATTGTACAATTAAAGATTTTTTTTCTTCTTCTAAATGTTATTTCCCTTCAGAACATAGATCATACCTCTCTACAACTTCCTATCCTTTGCAGCTCTTATTAATATTTGTCTTTTTACCCCCAGTTTTGCCATCCATTTACACAAACTTGTTAAGTAGGTTACTTGCTGCTTTCCTCTGTCCTGTTTACCTTCAATAAATCTATGTGTCAAATTTTCCAAGCCTTTTCTCATTGTATCACATAAATCTCAACTGTATCTTATTTTATATATAATTGTTCTTTTTGTTTCAATTTTTATTAAAACTTCCTCATTTTCCATATGTTAAAACTATGTTATTCTCAGCTTCCTTCTGCAGAACATGTTACCTTAGGTCTCCTCTTAATCTAGCATTAACTGCCATATAGGAAAATTGATATTATGGTTATTTTCTAAATGTTGCTTAGATGTGGCACAAAGCTGAAAGTATGGGATACCCAGTGAGGATCAAACTCAATACTCATTCGTAATTTTCTAGCAAGACATGTTTTCTAACCATTACAATATTTCAAGGTGCCCAAAATGATTTCTAAGTGTAGCTTAGATGTAGCCTAAGACTGAAAGTATAAGACACCAAGTGAGGATCAAACTCGCTATTCAGTTGTAATCAATCTAGTGAGACAAGCTCGCTAACCATTAAACTATGTCAAAGCAACCAAGCAGAGTGATGTTATGTAGTAATTCAGCATTCTTTTCTTTTATTTCTAATGATTTTTGCTGTTTCTTAATACTTTGTTTAGTAACTGTGAAAAAAACTAATAGCTAAACATGAAATTTTACAATTTTAGGTCTAAAATTTGTTTCAGAAAATTTTGGGGACTCAATCTATAGAGGTAAGGAATTAAATTAAACATTGTTGATAAAACTGTGTTATGTACTGCCAATGTTTTTACAATAAAAAATTATTACTAATGTAACTACAAAACTGCTTTGAAAATCAAGGAAAAGAATCAGTGATTACGAATTAAGACATCTGACAATATAGAGCTATTATATAAATTAAATGCAGGATTTTACAAGAGAAATGCATTGAAAATTAAAAAGAAAGGGATTGGCAGTTGTCAGGAATTACAAGGATTACTGACAAAGAACTATTATATATATATAATGTAAATGCATAATTAATAATTTCTGCTATAGTAATACTTTAAATATTCAAATACAAAGGGTTATTCAGTAATTAGAAATTAAGATATATTACAGATATAGGATCATATGTATAATGTAAATATATTACTAATGGTTTTACTATAGAAATGATATTAAAATGGATGTAATATTAGAAATTATATTTAATATAATTAATATTAGATTTAATACAATTTAATATCATTAGAAATGATATTAAAATAGTAAACAATTTCAAATAGTTACCATACAAAAAAATTAAAATCAAGAAAAACAAATTGTCACTGACCAAGAATTAAAACAAACATTACTAACAAAATATTAAGTTTTATTAACTTTTGTAAGAACTTCTAAGTGTAACATGTGGTTGTATACTAATTTACAAATATAAGTTTCTAAATTCTTTTGAGTTTTATACTTATATAGTTTCTACAAATAATATTTAAATCATTTTTGATAAATTTATTTATCCTAAAAGTTTTATAAATTTGTTAAGCAAATATACAAAATGTGAAAATAAGACACACATACACAAATTTACACAAACACACAGATATGAATAAAAAAACATTATAACAAATATTTCACAAGATAAAACATTTAAATAAATAATATCAATCCTGATGATTTTATAAAATGGCTCTAACTTTTCACTCACCTTTGAAAATTAACTCCAGTGTCTGCATTTGCAGGAGGCCTTAAGCCAGACCTGAAAAAGCATTGATTGTAATATTATGATGTCACTGTAATAATCATTATTTATATCTTTTGTTTTAATCATTTCACCCCAAACAAGGCAACAAAGCCACTAGGATGCAAGAGGTTACCAAGTGTAAGAGAATATGAGAAAAAATACTATTAAGGAGAGAGGATAATAAAAGAATAAGAAGACAGAAGTTAACAATTGACATTGCATTTATATTTTTGAAGATCAAAGTTGACTGGGAAGCAAGAAGCCAGAAGAAAAAATATTGCTTAGAATATTGCTGCCACATCTAATCTGGTGCTCCTGCTATATACTTAGAGATTCTTAATAAAATCCAAAGAAGAATCTACAATGTTATTTGTCTTGACCTGCTATCTTGGCCTTAGTCCATTTGCCACTGCTGTAATATAGTGCCTTTTCTATAAATACTTTCATGATAATTGTTCTGATGAACTTTCTTGTATGGTACCTAGACTTTATGAATTTAAGCGCAGTAGTAGACTGACAATGAGTTCTCATCAATTTACAGTTGAGATGGCTAGATGTAACCATAAGTTCTATGCCAAGGGTTGGCAACCCCTGGCATAGAACCTATGATTACATCTAATTATATAATTAGTATTGAATACAAGTAGTTCACTTCAAGGTTAAGAGGTCACTGGAAAAATTACTTCATATCCTTTCTCAGAGTTTTTCATTTGAGTTTTTTCTCTTTCTTTCAGAAGTCTTTTTTGTCTAAGCAAAAACAACCCATGGAAACTAAGAAAAGAAAAGTGAATTTAGAATGCTGAAATTTTAACGATGACTTGACACTTAAGTATTTTTTCATTGAGCACTTCAGAAGCTGTGTTTACTTAATTTTTCAAGCAATCATTGCCGTGAAAAATATATTAAATATTAAACACCACTATGAAACTCAGCATAGTCATTACATCAATTTTACTGGTAAAGCATGAAAAGATGAAGTTGCATGGCTGAAAAATAATTTAATAAAGCAGTCATTATTTTTCACTAGAAAAGTTCAAGAAAATGACTGCAATACTCATGCTAGCTATAAGATTGTCAAAAGTAATTGCAGAAAGAATGAAACCATTTACTAATGGAGAGTTACTCAAAGAATTATTGTTGAAGATAGCAGATGTTGTTTGTCCAGAAAAAAGGAATTATTTTCTGTAATCAGCTTATTGGCAAGAACAGTAACAAGATGAAGTGGAGAGCTGACAGCAGATGACAAATAAACAATCATGACTCCACAGCTTCCTTTTCTTTATCATTTGTGAATTTACCATTTTTTCTTAGAAAAGATAATAGGAGTGGTTACCAGTTGTCTGCTCCACAATTTGGAATTCAGATTTTTCTTTTTCTGAGACTGGTTGCCACTCAAAGCTAGAAAGTCCATTATACCCTATGTTGGAGGAGAAGAGATAGATTCATGCCTTTCCTAAGGGCATAAGTGAACACAACAGACTATCCTGGAATTTGAACTCAGCTCTTTGATTTCACTTTCAGCATCAATATTTGCTACACCACCCACACATTCTTCATTAAAAATGTTCTTCTATGTGCCAAGTCCCTTTAGAAAGTGATTACGGCTCTCCACAACTCTCTGTCCTTTGTAGCTCTTAATAAATTTTGTCTTTTTAGCATCTTTCCCAAATCTGATTCCATTCACCCAAGCTTGCCAAATAGGTCATGCATTATTTTCCTCTGTAATAATTGCTTTTGATCTATCTTGTGAGTATCAAATTTTCCATGCCTTCTTTCCCCATTATGTGCCCTAGAAATTTCAATTATCTCTCCTTGATGTTAAGTATAGGTGCTCTTTTTGTTTTCATTATCTCTAGAACTTTGTCGCTGGACCTATGTTTGGTCCATGATATTCTCAGTATCACTCTGTAGAACATTTCTGTTGCTTCAAGCGTCTTCTTCATCTATGAGGAGATTGTCCAACATTCACTGCCACATGGGTAGACTGATATTATGTAACAGATCAGTATTCTTTTCTTTGCTACTGATTATAAATGAAAACATTTTTATATAACCTTTTTTTTCTATTGAAAAGCCAAAGTCCTGAATTTTTCTTATCCTAATAAAATGTACCTCATGACTTTTATCGCCAACAACAGAGTTAACTTGGAGCTGTGTTGTACAACTGAGCAAGATTCAATATTATGACCTGTAAATTCTACCCCAGGAGATTTTGACAGGTTGATAAATGGCCTAGCACTTGGTATGTAGGCCATCTGTGTTTGTTAAAAAAAATGGAAAGGTTGTTTTCATGAACAGAAAGTCTATATATTCATACTCAAAAATGTTATTCTTTTAATTAAACATAAAAAAGATACATATGCCATTAGATAGTTTTTAAAATAAGTCATGTAATAAAAATATATAAAGTGGAATTTGCAAGAAATTGTCCTATCAGTAATTATAATATATAAATCCCCTAAATTTTTTTAATCATTTCACCTCAAGCACTGCAATAAAGTCACTAAGATGCAAGTATTTACCAAGTGTTGTAAACATGTCTATGGTAGCACAAGAGAACAAACAAAATAACAAATAACACCAGTAAAATGAAAAGTAAAGAAGACAAGAATTGTTACTATAGAATTCTTTGTATTGCCAATATAAAGGATGTGAGTTAAACTAGTAGAATTGCTAGAATTTTTAATACAGAATAAAATAACATTTAGCAACAATTTTTTAATTTTCTTTTATTTTTTTGGTCATTTAAGTGACACTGAAATTAGTAGTATAGTTGCTTGTTTAGTCAAATTTGAGTACAGTTTATAAATGCTACAAGTCTCGTAACCGATTATGATTGTAAGGGCACCACATATACTGCCCTATAGTACCATGGTTAGGAGGAATTTTAAGCTAATTCCTGCATAATACCTATATGGAGCCTTTGGTTCAAATAAGAAATCATAGATTTGAAATATGTATTTAATCATACCTTATTTGAAAAACCATCATCCCTATGAACTATTGGATCACATTTAATTTAAATATCTTGAGGGATTACTCAAAAGACTTCAAGTAAACACAATTTTTGAAAATCTGCATTTTTTTGGTCTTTCTATAGAAGATAGTGAAAGAAAGTGAGAAGAAAGGACTAAACACCAACTGCAGAAAGACAGAATGCATGGTTGTCATTAAAAGGAACAGCTAAACATGTAAACTCCAAATTGGAGATACCAAAATTAATTAGTACAAAATTAGTTTTAGCAAAATGTGGCACTGAAAGTACATTGGAATAGTGAAAGGTGCATTCCAAAAGTTAAGCAAAGTATTAAGAAATATTTTATTAGAAACAAAGAAAATAGTACTGAACTGTTACATAATATCAGTCCCCCTATATGGCAGTAAATGCTGAACAATCTTTTCACAGATGAAGAGACTCAAAGCAACAGAAATGTGGTTCTACAGAAAAATGATGAGAAAGCCATAGACCAAACATATTGTATCTACCACAAAGATGACAAGAAAAGGCTTAAGAAATAAGCTCTATATTAATTATCTTAAAAACTTTTTTTTTGCTTTCCATCAACATGGCTGATGCTAATCTCCAGGAGAGCAACTCATTGCATCTTCTTGGTCTCATGTTTTCTACTGACATAAAGTGGAGTGGTTATATTGATTCAACTGCTAAGTGTTCTGCTAGGAAAGTCAGTTTACTTGTCATGCTTAACAATTTTACATGTCAAAATTTATCTTGCACATTTATAAATCTACCATTTGTTCATGCATTGAACATTGTTGCTACATCAGGTCTGATGCTTCTGATATATATCTATAGATTCTTGACAAAATCCAAAGAAGAATCTGTAATGTTAATGGTCTTGACCTAACATCTCAACTTCTCACTTTCACACCACTATAATGTATCTTACCTTTGACTATTCTATAAATACTTTCATGATATTTGTTCCGATGAACTTTCATCTTTGATATTTTGACTTCATGAATTTAAATGCAATACTAGATTGGCAGTTAGGTTTCATAATTTCACTGTTGAAATTACTATTGTAACTATAAGTTCTATGCTAATAGTTTCTTTCCACACACTTTTCATTCATGAAACTCTTTTCTGACTTCTTGCTTTTCTGGTCACTTTTGATCTCTAAAAAATTAAATTTAAATTCAATGTCAATTGTCATCTTCTGTCTTCTTAATTCCTGTTCTTTTATTGTCCTCTCTCCTTAATGTTTTTTTTTTGCACATTTTTTTTTTCACAATCTTGCATCTTAGTGGTTTTATTGCTCTGCCGGAAGTGAAATTAAAAAAAATAGATAATGACTCCATATATATGTTTGGTGATTCAAAATGCCCATTGAACTAAAAGGTTTAGAGATGTCTCTAGTAAAGTTTAAAATGCGGTGGGCAGTTTGGGTATAAAATGCAAACTTGTGTCATGGACTGTATTGATTGAGTCAAAAATCTGTCTCAATCAAGTCTACAGCAAACAAGTCAGTCTTTTTTTTTATCTTTTTACATATCAAAACCTGTAAATCTACATGTATCCCTAATGCAGTAAGGAATATAGACAATAGTCAGAATAATTAAGCTAGAAAATTACTTACCCATATAGAGGAACATTTTCAGAATTATCTTTCTGATATCCATCCTGGTTGGCAATTTGACTACAGCACTTTGGTCTCAAAGACAAAAACTTTTCAGCACTTTTACTATGAAAGTCAACATCTTTGACTGCTCTTTTCTGACTGATCATTACATGAGTACAAGGAATCAGATATCTGCAGAAAAAGAATAAAAAAGAAAATTGTACATACATACAGAGAGATATAAATTTAACTAATGTACATAACAACTCCTAAGGAACTATGTATGCTATGAAGGCACAGCAGAGAAAAAGGGCTTCATGCTATATTTAATGGCATATACAATTTTCTTAATAACTTTCTGGTGTACAATGACTGATCCCTACTAATAGTTTTATGCATATTCATTCAATCATCAGACACTCGAATGCCTAATGCTTGTATGAATATGTATGAGACTATTTTTCATATTATTTTATTTTTAATTTATGAGTGTTTTTATCTTATTCTGGATATATATATATATATATATATATATTCAAAGAGGTTTGATTAAATAATTTAGGCATATTATGTCTATTTTATTTTTAATCCTTTTGAGTCCACAAATTAATTTCTTGGTGGCTGTAGAAAATTAAGAAAAATACCAGAATTTTCTTTCAAATAATTTTTATTTTCCCAAGTACTTTTAATCTCATCTGAGACCATCTTCAGTGGGTTAAATTGTCTGTGCATATTTATGTTGGTCACACCACAAACTCACTTTCATAATGCTTGACACTACATTTAAATGATAACTCTAACACTTTTAGGCATTTAAAACAACATGCCTGGCCACATACACAATTCTGGAAAATCCTTGTTGGAAACACAATTATATTTAAACATGAAAACAATAAACAAAAACTAAAAATTATACATAAAACAGTTGAAACTTAACCTGAACAAAATAAACTATGAAATCTCCACAAACATTCTTAAATGCCTATAATTGGTAACAGAAGCCATTGGTTTATACCAATGGCTTCCCATACTTAATACTTCTCATTTTCATTCTCGCATAGTCATGTGTGACATTATGAGCTGCAGTGCGATTTTTGCTTCCAGTGTCTTGTATGCACGAGTTTGTTCCATGTAAACAGAAACAGACTATCATCATTGTGTTGTCCGTGTATTGCTTAACATATTGTAAGCCAAAAGCTTAGATAGGATTAAAAATATGTATCAATATTGTGATTTTCTTTCTTCGTTTAATGATAATGTTATTAAGCTTATCAGACTATATGAAAAGAATTCACAAAAAATAAGCAGACAAGACTTGTCTATATTATTTAATGAAACATGCATCAATGAAAAAAATTCTGCCTAAGTACACAGAATATATATATATATATATATATATATATATATATATATATATATATATAATATTCATTTCTTTTTTACCAATTAATTTTTCCATATGCAAATGGACTATGCTATCTTACCAGTAGGCTATAAATATTGAGGTATTACAAGACAAATTTTTTATTTATGTCTGATGATTGCTACATGCATGAAACAGTGAACAACAAATGTATATTTATTTTAGTATAAAATTTTAGCCGTTATTTTACATACAGTACTGTTTGATTACCATACTACTTCAAATGTTATTATAGTGGACATTTCATATTTGAAATAGATGACGCATTCTTATTTATTAAACAGTGTGTATTACTTTTGTTCTATCATAGATCTATAAAGAAATCTTAGTAAAATAAATGAAAATGGTATGAAAATGGTATATGTATTTTAAATATGAAGTAGCCACTATAATAAGGTCTGAAGTAATAAAAATGCTGCATTAAACATCAATATATATATATATATATATATATATATATATATATATAAACATTAGGCAGCATATGATTTACATATTAAGAATTAATCACACATAGAATTAATCAGAAGTATCAATGCGATTATTGGCGACATCCGTCACTAGAAAACATAATATATGCATTAAAAATCCTGTTCATCCATAGTGTGAGTTTTGATCCTAGAAGAAAAACTTGTTGTCTGTAGTTTTCAGTTTATTCGATGTTAAAATGCTAGTATTTTACGGACGGTCTTCCATCCATCATCAGGCATGTGTTTTTTTTCTTATAAAATCAAAAACTTGAGACGATATATCTGTTTGTCGACCGAAAGATGTTTTTTTGAATATCTGCTATTATTGACGGTTGTAAGATCTTGAACGTGCAAAGACGCAACGCTAAGTTTTTCAAAATTTTAAGTGAGAATTTTATTTAAATATTTCTTGTGATGTGTTAAATCCACGTATTCTATTTTTACAAGTGTATTCAGTTTTTATGTCATGAACTAAGTATATAGTTCAATAATATAGTGTAATGTCATAATAGTAATTTTTTTTTTATAGGAATTTTTATGTACTGCGGATCGATAGTTTTTTAATAAACATAAAACATTAGGCAGCATATGATTTACATACAAGAATTAATCACACATAGAATAATCGCATTGATACTTGATTAATTCTATGTGTGATTAATTCTTGTATATATATATATATATATATATATATATATATATATATATATATATAAGTATAGGATTGGCATATACGGAATAAATTCCAATAACCAACAAATACAATTCTTAAAAGAGTGCTCAATACAGAGTAGAGCAAATATAATTATTTATTTGAAAATTATAACAAATATCTTATAAAATCACTACAAAACTGGCCATTTTGTTTCAACACTTCTGGTGTCTTATCAAGTGATGTTGTTGAATGTATAATAAAGGGTTCAAATCAATCAAACACTCCTCACTATAGGAAACACTGTTACATAAGCTGAAATGACCAATCAAAATACAAGTATATATGAATTCAAAAAACTTGACAACGAACTTTGGTTATAATAATTATTTAATGCTTTAATGCTAGAGTTAGACTAAAATAAAATTTATTCTAACTAATAAATATTAAATTATACTATAAAATTCAAAATTTAATCTATATTAAGTTTCAATTTATAAAATTATTTAAAGAAGAAACTGAGGAAAAAAATACATGTTTTTCTATTTATTTTGTTTTTATTGAAATTAAGCTGGAATAGACGTTAAGATCTAATGCTGCTCTAAACGTTACAATTTGGGTGCGAAGATATAGGCAGGGAAGGGTGAAATCTTGCAAAAGACAATACATACACAATCAGATTATAATACAGAAACACATGGACATATTTGGATATATAAATATACAAAAAAGCGACAAGACAGGAAATAGGTGTCCACAACCCTTAAAAGAAAAAACACTATCACAAGAAGTATTGAAACAAAATGGCTATTTTTGTAGTGATTTTATAACATATTAATTAATTTTCGAATAAATAATATATATATATATATATATATATATATATATATATATAAATAAACTGATTTAAAATATGTTTTTTTTCGCTACACAGTTCTAACCATGTTTCAAAAATGAAAGCTAAAAGCTTTGAATTTAATTTTGTAATTAAATTAAAGACATTAGCTCCATTTCATCCTCAAGCGAATTTTGGAGTAACTTATTTTTAAAATTACTGGGTTTTAAAGGCACTGCAAAAATTCATAATTCACGTTTCCAAGGATACAGAGAAATCCATTCATCTAGACAAGAGGTGTTTGTATGTTGATTTTTGCTATATTTTGTTGTATCAGTTATTAGTTACGCTTTGGTAGGGGTAGGGATGTATTTTTCAATGAATTCTGACATCCATTAAAATGCTCTGTAAATTTACATTGAGCACTATTTTGTATAAATACAAATATCTATAAGAACACCGGATTATATATCTTACTGTTCTTTTTTTTTTTATATATATATATATATATATATATATATATATATATATATATATATATAGAGAGAGAGAGAGAGAGAGGGGTGTGTGTGCATGTGTGTGGTGCTGAAATATGGATCTTAACCAAAAAATTAGCTTTCAAACTAAAAACAATTTAATGTGAGCAGGAAGGAATGTGGTAACACATAATCTGGAAAGATCACAAAATATTGGAGAACAAGCAAGTATCAGAAACATCCTTGAGGCTATTAACAAAACTGGCAATAGACAAGATATATTACAAATATACTGAATAACTGCTGGATGATGCCTCTTAGAATGTGGGTCTGAGAAGATCCTAAGAGAAGTTGTGACTAGTAGAAAATAAGATCATGTGATATTATCAGAGTATTTTGGCACAATAACACTCAAGAATGAAAATGGTTGCAGACCTTGGGGAAGGCCTATTGCCCAACAACAGATACTGAAGACTGATGATTAGTAATAATAAATATACATATTACCCCTCATCAATAGCACAACTTGGAGTTTTATGCACAATGAAATATTCAGATGCTGAGCATAGACTGGCTGTTATGTAATTTAAATTAAAAAAAATATATCTGGTTATCATAATGTTGACATAGATATATATTATACTGCAATTACAGTCTTTTAATTTTAAAAATTGAAATATATTTGTTTAATATAAAATAACAACATAATATTAAACAAATATATTTCTAACAAAGACAACATAAATATTTCTAAAAACTAATGCAACTGCTGAAAAAATATGATCTGTCCGCAAAACAGTCAATGTATGACTTATAATATTGTATACTGAAAGAGAATACATTTCAGTAACGATGTTAAATTTTATTTTTGTTCCACTGAAAATCCTTGGCAATTTCATTTCTATCATCATCAAATAAATTTAGGCAATATAAAATATAAAAACAGCACTGCTCTTTCCAAATATATCTGCAAATTAAAGAATGATGGCAACTAACCTTCAACTGTGATATTATAACTATATCCAAATCTTATAACTGGAAAGGAAACTCATGTATTTTTCAAAAATTGGTTATCTTAAATAACCTTAGCTTATTAAACAAGAGAAATGAATGTAGGCATAAAAATAAATATCTGCTTAAATATGTTCATCCAGATTAATTTTTAATATAAATGATGGTTTATTTTTTAGGCAAATTACAATTTGTTTTAATTTTTTATATAAAAAAGAATAAGTAATCTCCCTTTAATAATAAAAAAAATAATATCCACAGCTCTAAATTACGTGTAAGTATGTGTGTGTGTGTGTGTGTGTATATATATATATATATTTTTAAT